ATCCGCTAAGGTGATAATATCCTGTTCATTTCGTAAGTACTAAAATCACTTTTTTTTTTGTCTATTTGATGTTAAATGGCTGGGAAAATTCTCACAGCACTAAAACTCATTATTAGTGCAATTCATGTATGATTCTTTTTTTTCTTTTTTGTCTACATATAACTGTGGTTCATATTGCAAATAAAGTTTCTCTTTCTTATTCCTATAAACATCGAAAGTTTTGACGTGTTTCCTTCGCTGTCTTGTTTAAATTGTTAACTTTCATATCAGACTTGTTGTCACTTGTTCTCGAACAGGAGGAATTTCTCGATAATATACGCCAAGTTACCCCCCTCCCGTTTTATTTGTGTGTTTCTTGTACTGTCGTAAACGTTCAAGATCGCAGGCGTCAATTTCCAATTTATTTTTCCGATATATATATATATATATATATATATATATATATATATATATATATTATGAAATGGACAAAGTCCGACAATTATTTTAAGACATTTTTATGTTTATACATTCTTTTTTATAGATGCAAATATTTAAACATAAAAAAATGTCTTAAATTAATTGTCGGACTTTGTCTATTTCATAATGTGTGACGTCATTTGTTTACATTTGGATACGCATCAAGCAGATATGAATGTACGTGAGAAAATCATGGAAAATTATAGTTTAAAAACAGTAAAATCGACCTTGCTAACAGAATGATCCTCTGTGACCCAATCGATAAAAGCACATCAGGCTATATGACTGTTCCGTATAGGATACAGGTTCGATTCCTGTCGGAGGACGCATATTTTCTATGACAATTTCTCGGACATTCAGGCCGGTAAATGTTGTTAATACTGTTTATTATAAACAGAGCATTTACTTAAATATTCGTATCTATAAAAAGAATGTATAAACATAAAAATGTCTTAATATATATATATATATATATATATATATATATAGTCGAGCCACCGCACAACACATATGGCCTGAAGTTTGCGTTCAAGCATGAAACAGACTGTCTCCACTCTGTATTGATCTCAGTGTCACACGTTCTGTCTCTGATATTGAGGACTTTTACCCATAAATATAACTTAAAACTATATCCGATAAAAGAGTTTTAAAATTTTATTTTCTATGCTAGATGACCTTCCCCACTTGGAACAATGTGGCAGTAACCTCATAACTCATTGTAGCCAACGACGAGAGAGTTCCTGTCAAGTTTTTGACAATTAATACAAAAAAAAAAAAAACTGCCCAAGATGCAATTTATGCATTGCAGGTACCAAAATCAAAGAAGGGCTACAAGTAAGGTAAACTGGGAAACGTTTTAAAAGAGAACGTAAAATGCGACAAGGAAATCTCGTTAGAAACAAAAAAAAAGTGTACTGAACTGTTATGTAATCCCACGACTTCAGCTAAGGTAGTTTCAAAATGAAGTTAAGCACAACCACCAGGAAGCCATCTCCCCAGGCAGTATCTCTCCAAGAGGGGACTGAAGTGATTACCCGTCGCCTGAGCATCCCTAAAGTGGGAAGTTCCGATGGGACTTGAGCATGGTATTTGTTGTAGCATACCTACGGGCAATAATGGATATGAATCCATTCCCATAAATACAGTAGTGAATACTGTATGTTGGTCTGTAGTTGGAGATTCGTTTCCAGCTGTGCTGGTCAAACTCTCTGCCTCTGGGCAGGAAGGATCTCTAGACGAGGCTATGTCGAAGGGCAGTGTCTTGATTCGGGAAGCAGCTACCCGACCCCGCTTTATACGAGATTTATGGGGAATTTTTGACCGATCCTACGGGGTCGGATACCCCACATTAAATTCGGACTTGTGCCACATCTGACCGCGTAGGGCGGTTGGTAGATATCTTAGAGTTGGAGACCCGTTTCCAGCTGTGCTGGTCAAACTCTCTGCCTCTGGACAGGGAGGATCTCTAGACGAAGCTATATCGAAGGGCAGTGTCTTGTCTCGGGAAACAGCTACCCGACCCCGTTTTATACGGGGTCTATGGGGAAATTTGGGCCGATCCTACGGGCTCGGATACCCCATATTAAATTTGGCCTTGTGCCACATCTGTCCGCGAAAACTGATATTTGTACAGGCTGGAATAAATACTTATTCGAAAAATGCTCTGATGATCATGGCGGCTGGATAAAACTAAACTCTAAAAATGTTTTACCATATGACCAAATAAACGTGTGGCCTATACGTTCTCTTGAGCAAATAAAATATTAGGGAAAGCAATGAATCATTAATAATAATAATAATAAGAAGAAGAAGAAGAAGAAATAGGAAACTTTATTTTGTAATAAAGCAAGCCAGCAAACACAAAAGGGAATTTCAATTGAGTGAAAAAGTACAAATAAAATATAGTACAACTATTGCAGCTGCAAAGAACCGTAAAAGAAAGTAAAGTCAACTGTAATGTACCAAATTCAGAAATGGTGGCAAGATAATCCTCTTTATGGTCAATAATCTGTCCGTACCAAACAAACTGATGTATCCAAATCGTTTATCCATCAGTGGCTACGTAGTGCAGGTTTAAAAGCTGAAATCGAAGGTTTTATTTTTGCTGCACAGGACCAATGCTTGCTAGCTAGAAATTACCAAGCCCACATACTGAAAAATTGTGCAGATTCTGTGATAAATATCCAGAAACATTTGACCACCTTGTATCAGGTTTCCCAGTACTAGCATCCACTGAACATAAAAGACGGTATGATAGAGTGGGCCAATATCTTCACTCGAAAATCTTAACTTTTACGGGAAGGAAACGGCAAGAAACTGGCAGGAACATCACCGAGGCTGGGTTACAGAGATAGGACCTGTAAGAATTTTGGGGGACTTTACAATACACCCAAGCAGAAATGTCAAAGCTAATTGCCCAGGCGTCTTGATCACAGACTACAAAAACAGAATTAGCTTCCTTATTTGATATGGCAGTCCCTGAAGACTAATGTATCTTTGAAGATATTCAAAAACTATTAAAATAGAAAGACCTTCAAGTAGATATCTCAAAAATGGGAAGGCATCAGTAATTTCAATTGTAGTTGGAGCCCTCGGATTGATTGGAAAAAGTTCCAGTTATCTCATTGAAGGGATTCCTGGTTTTCCACGACTTAAAGAAATACAAAAAAAAACAAAAAAACTGTATTCACAAGTAAAGCTCACACATTAAGAAAAGATTTATCTATGCGTGATCTAAGGTTTTGAATATAATAAATGATCACTGGAAAATATCTTGAAGCCATTTCTGACCTTAATTTTAATGAGTTTGTTTAAATTTTCTTTATTGTAATTAACTTATTTGCCATTTGTTTGTCATACTAATTTGTCTTAATATTAATTGGCCATATTATTCATTTGCAAGTCTTTTAATTTGCCTATTTTAGTAATCTGCTTCCCTAACGTTCAATTTGGCCGCCTTATTTTTTTAATTAACTCGCCTTATTTGGCCGCCTTATTTTTTAGTAATTTTTTTTACCTTTTCCGTCTTTGTATGGGTGTAACAGAACCCAACTCTCTCACTTTCTCTCTACATACATACACACACACACACACACACACACACATACACACACATACACACACACACATATATATATATATATATCATACTTATTATAAAATCCAAGTTGTGTGTGTGTGTCTGTACGTTTATATATTGGATCAGATTTCCTACATTTTTCAACCAATTTCAACAAAACTTCACAGGACTACGTAAAATTACCTTGCGGTGGTTCTGACAGCACCCAAAATTGGAAAAACACAATTGTTTTTGCATGAAATCAATTTGAAAACACGATTAAGAGGCATTAATGAAAGGGGGACAACTCATATCAAGTTATACTTAAAACCCAGGTTGTGTGTGTGTGTGTGTGTCTGTGTTCATTTATATATGGGATCGGATTTCCTACATTTTTCAACCGATTTCAACAAAACTTCACTTTTTGGGGGCAGGTAGTGTTTCTTATTGTCTTGCACACTTTTTACTTTATTTTTACATTCAGAATGCTTTAAAAATTCTATTTACAAGACACTTGTTTATAATAAAATTCTATTCAATCGGTAGACTCATAACAATTGAAAACAATGTTTTTGTTTGAGTTTGGGTTTGACCAATTCGTAAAAAAAAAAAAAATACTAATTAAGACATGCGTGTCCGTCAACCTTAAACAATAATCTTTGTCAATTTTATTTTTCAGTCTTTATGATGGTCAATACTTGATCTATCTCTTACTGTTACATCCCCGGGCAACGCCGGGCTCTACTGCTAGTATATATATATATATTATACAGCAAAAAATCCAAAATTACCTCATGTGGTTTAGTCTATTTAAGACAAGCACAACCAAATAGACATGAGGTAATTTTGGATATTTTTCTGTATAAAATATATGCTCTGTTATAATAAATACATTGAGCTCTCTGTGTGGATTAGTTTTTATATCTAATATTGCTAGGATTCATCTGGATTATATACCAACGGATCTATTATCTGTACTATATATATATATATATATATATATATATATATATATATATATATATATATATATATAGTACAGATAATACAGATATATTTTTTTTTCAAAAATGTATTGCTGGTAATTTTTTCCCCCAATTTTTTTTTCTGCTAATTTTTTTTTAAAAACTGTATTGGTGTAATTAAAATCTATTTTTAGACTTTCATAGTGTTTGACCCCTTTGGTGTGTGGGGAGGGTGACTATATGCCTACAGCTGGGACCCTAACAGGTGCTACCACCCCGGATCAAGGTGGACATGTGAACCCTAGCAATTAAGAGGTGGTTTTACGCTCCTCAAAACCTCCTGATCAAAGGCCTTGCTATCGAATGTAGTTTATCGTTTTACCCAGGACATATATACTTACATACATACATACATATATATATATATATATATATATATATATATATATATATAGAGAGAGAGAGAGAGAGAGAGATAGATACGGAGAGAGACAGATAGACAGAGATTGATAGAGATATTAACAACCCGACATACACATGAAGAGATAGATAGATAGATAGATAGATAGATAGATAGATAGATATTTAAATTTAGACATCGGTAAACAAATGGATAGATAGATAAATAGATATGTATATGCCAAAGAATTTGATGTGCACCCACAAATGCACCCTGTCCATCTGACGTCATCATTCGGAATAACTCTGCAAGTCTGACGTCATACGCCTCGTTAAGCAGAATAAATTCTTACATGTTTTTATTTTCTTTTTTCAAGAATTTTCTAAGAGTTTGTTCTAAAGATAAAACAAGAAAGACGGACAGAAAAAAAAGTCAGCGCAAAAAATAAAAGCCGAAAAACATGAATCTGGCCCGAAATAATAAAAATATATTCAAAAGAAAGAAAGAAAGAAAGAAAGAAAGAAAGAAAGAAAGAAAGAAAAAAAGAAAGAAAACAGTCACCTCCCCCATTCCACTCCAATCTCCCAGCATTTCGTCAGTAGACTTTGCGCATATTTTTTGGTTGTTCTTCCGTATATTGAATAGGTCAATTACCAACAATGGGCAACGTACCAGCAATTTCAATATCGTGTATAGCGATTACTCATGGGTCGGGACGGGGTACAGATTGTGGCTCATCTGACAAACAATTTCTCTAATAAATATTGTCTACCATATTAAAAAGGGAAATTATTATTCCTAGAATTTGTTTAGCAGGAAGTGAATTGATGAATACGCCTGTCTATTAATTAATTATATTCGCCTAGTTTAATTAATAACATTTTAATCTTTATTGGATTGACTAATGTCGAATATCAATCTTAGAGGACACAAATCTCAATGAATAAACAAATAGGTCCGGTTAGAGTCCAAAATAAAATGTATATAGGTCCGGTGTACTCTACGTCAAAAAGAAAGATATAGGTCCGGTTTACACCATAGTAAAAAAAAAAAAAAAGAAACAGATATAGGTCCGGTTTACACTAGAGTCAAAAAGGTAGACATAATTCCGTTTTACACTAGAGCCAAAAAGGTAGACATAGATCCTGTTTCCACGCGTGCAAAAAAAGTTAGACACTGGTCTGGTTCAGAATAGAATCAAAATGGTAAACGTAAGCTCGGTTTAAACTAGAGCCAAAAATGTAGATATAATTCCGATGTAAACAAAAATCTAATAGCTAGACTTAGGTCCGTTTTAAACTAGAACCAAAAAGGTAGACATAGACCCGTTTACATTGGAATCAAACAAGATACGAATCAGTCCACTTTACACAAGAATAAAAATGCTAGAAATAAGACCTGCTCAAACTAGCATCAACATAGGACATAGGTCCGGTTTATGCTAGGGTAAAAAAAGTAGTCATAGGTCCAGCTTCCATAAAAGCCAAGAAGCTAGAAATAGGTCCAGTTCACTCTAGGGCCCAAAATATACATAGGTCAAGTTTTTTGAGAAAAGTGGACCGTTTTACATTAGAATAAAAAAAGTTACGAATTGGTCCAGTTTTCACAAAAATGTATCTACCTTTTTGGCTCAAGAGAAAAGTGGACCGTTTTACATTAGAATAAAAAAAGTTACGAATTGGTCCAGTTTTCACAAAAATGTATCTACCTTTTTGGCTCAAGAGAAAAGTGGACCGTTTTACATTAGAATAAAAAAAGTTACGAATTGGTCCAGTTTTCACAAAAATGTATCTACCTTTTTGGCTCAAGAGAAAAGTGGACCGTTTTACATTAGAATAAAAGAAGTAGATATAGGTCCTGTTTATTCGAGAGTTTTCAAGGATCCAACCAGAGGTGACTCAATATTGTGTAGTTCTTACCTCTTTATAACAGATTCAGTCTGTTTATACTAAGCCTCACCGATATGGCAAGTATATTGATTGCAATCATTCATATTAAATGGGTGAATAAAAATGGTATAATCTGTATAGCTTATATTCCGGAATAACTTCTTCTGTGAAGACTAAAAGGTCAAACTTACAAATAAGATCCTAACAGGTTCTACCACGCGGAGTGAGGGTAGATCCAACAGTAATGGGAAGGGTTGACAAAAAACTCTCAAATTCCAAGACAATACATGATAGCTGTCAATTCGTTAATCGAGTATGACCATCGCTGACAAGTTCGATCCACGTTTTCACTTCTCATGAGAACGACAAGGGCTCTTGAAAGCAGCAAGTGACTTGCAACGCTTATTACAGACGCGGTAAACTAAGTACATATGTATATTGTATATATATATATATATATATATATGTGTGTGTGTGTGTGTGTGTGTGTGTGTGTATGTAAAGAGAGAGAGAGCAAGTGAAAGATGTGGGCTCTGTCACTCCCATACAAAGACGGAAAAGCTAAAAAAAAAAATAAGGCAGGAAAATTTATAAGAATAAGGCGAGCTGGTTAAAAAAAAATAAGTCGAGCAAATTGAATGTAAGGTAAGCAAATTACCCAAATAGACAAATTAAAAGTAAGACTCGTAAATAAAAAATATGGCCAACATCTTAAAAAAGTAAGGCAAATAAATTAATATTAAGACAAATTAGTGTCACAAAGTAATGACAAATAAGTTAATTACAATAAAGAAAATTTAAACAAACTAATTAAAATTATGACGAAAAATCCTTTTAAGGTCAGAAATGGCTTTATGACATTTCCTACTAATCATTTATTATAGTAAAAACCTAAGGTCACACATATTTGACAGAGATAATTCTCTTGTTTTTCGCCTGTTTTGTAAATTCTTTTAATACATACAGACATAATATATAATGTCATGGCCGGATATTCGTTTGTGAGCATACCCGTCTGCTATGTCGACTAGGTTGAAAGAGCATCATCTAGCGTGATCAACAGTTTGAAGAAGGCCAATGCAGTTAAAATCTCGGTCATGATGACTTGCGACGTCGTGCATGCACAACCTCCGACAGCCTTCTAACAGTTCCGTCTACACTGTTTCAATCAAAAGGCTTGCGGCAGCCCATTGTATGGTTTTCATAGACTCCCCAAAATGCGATACACGCTGGAATTGTCCTCAGATTGATGACATTAAGATCACTTTCCTGAGAAATCGACCACGGTGAGATTCGAACCTGGTCCCTATCACCGAAAAGCAAAAGTTCTAACCAATATGTCACGCGCCCAAATTCATACATACATAGTATCATATACCTGGCTGCTCGTAGCTAGCCAATCCCTATTGCAGACGCTTGCTCAGGCGTATTTATGTTTGTTTAATATCCACAGAGCCCATCTCTGGTTTATATTGCAACTATGCAAACTTTAGTTACGGTTTCTGGGAAAGAGCGTGTTATCTAGCGTGATCAACAATTTGAACAGTGCCAGCACGCTCAAGCCCTCGGCCACGATGACTTGTGACTTCGTGCTAGCTATCGACGGCCCCCAAGTGTTCCGTCTGCCCAATTTCACTCACAAGGATTGGGTCAACCAGCAGTCTGGTTTTCTGGTATTTTCCAAAGTGGGATCTATTCCTCCAGTCTCCTTCCTGACAAATCGACCATGGTGAGATTCGAACTCGGGTCTCATGGTCAGGATGCGGGCGTTCTAACCACTTGACCACGTGCCCGTACTTACATTCATGATGATGATGATGATGATGATCCGCCGCATCTTCACAAATGATGGTCGCCTAATCACGTTCGCTCTCCACCTCACACCTCTCTCATGCATGACCCCGAAGGTGACTTGCCAAGCCGGCTGCGGACTTGCATGACTTGTTACAGACGAACGATGTGCTTGCCACAACCTTGATGAATTCACACCGCTGTGCCTGATTCCTGTGCACCAACTTGTGCCTTTTCAGTCTAGAGCTGGTTGTGGATGCCTTGTCACACAATGTGCAGGCTGCGACAGTCTGTGTTTGAAGAATGTCAAGAGTGATCTTTTTCTTTACGCGACTTCACATGATTCACCCAGCCAGCCTTTGAAAGAGGTATGCACTAACAGAAAACATGTCCAGCCCTTGATACCCACGCCGAGTCCATGGTTATCACCCACTCTAAGTCGCAGCTTCAGCCTTCTGTGTTCTAGACAACTTTTGTGAATACTCGTTGTCACTTTCGTAATGCTCGTTGTAGTAGAGACTTTGTAATCGCAGATTACAACTATAGTAACGCCGTTGAACAATGCTGGTATCAGACGCCTTCGAATATCACTCGCGCTAATAGTACTTGCTCGATAATACTCGCTCGAATAGTAACCACCGACTAGTAATCCGTATAGAGAATAGAGGATGAAATAGAAATGGAGATCCGTATAGTAATAGAGGATAGACTAGAAATAGTGATCAATTAGACGCCATTACCTCCATGGTTACGTGATGTACTTAATTCAAAAATGGGATCGCCCGTGTTTGCTCACTGGCGATCTATGTTCAAACTCAAGTGTCGGCAGCAACACTTATAATAACACGTATATAACAACATTCTTCGAAGAGTTGACACCCGTCTCTTATTTGACATCTCCATCCAGTTTTATCTCGGGCCAAATCATACATACATACATATATACTTACATGTGGTGATTGTCGCATCTTACACAGATGAGAGTCGTCCCCTCACCCTTCGCATCACTTTTAAGGGCTTCTGTCTCGTTTTTGGCGCACTGAATGCAATAAACACCACAGGATCTCTTTGTAGACATGCTGATTGATCGTCTAGCCGTGTGGCAAGAACTTACTAGGCTGATCTTATCTGCATGGCCTATGACTCACCTGTGTACCACCATGGGCCTTTTCAGTCGATATGATGATCTAATAATCTTGTTGCTCAGATAAGAGCCGTCCCCTCACCCTTCGCATCACTTTTAAGGGCTCCTGTCTCGTTTTGGAGACTTCATAGTTATCACGCATACGAAGTCTGTGTGAAAAGTAACGGAACTGATGTCACAAACAATTTATTTCAAACCATAAATTACATGGTTTCGCCTTCAAAGTAATCCCCATCGGTCATGATGGTTATTCACTGCTGGAAGGATTCTTCTTGGATGCCCCCTCCCAGCTCCGTCGTTACGACCCTCTTGATGGCCTCTCCACGCCTTCAAAACTAGTTCGCTTGATGATAACGTTGAGCTTAGGAGAAAAGAAAAAAAAAATTCACACGGAACAAGATCAGGTGAATAGTGAGTTTGATCCAGTACGGCGATGTTCATCACAGTCATGAACTGCCGGATGCTCAGGGCATTGTGTGACGGTGCATTGTCCTGATGAAGCAGCCGCGATTTGCCTTGCCACAACTCTCGTCTCTTCTTGCACACTGAACGAAACAAACACCACAGGATCTCTTTGTAGACGTGCTGATTGATCGTCTAGCCGTGTGGCAAGAACTTATTGTCGGCAATGCCTCTCACACCGAAGAACGGATAAGTCCCGTTACTTTTTAGATAGACCTATAGAGGTAGATTATGGATCCTTGATTGGGTTGATCTGATCTGTATGGCCTATAACTCTCCTGTCTACCACCATGTGCCTTTTCAGTAGAGATGATGATCTGCAAACCACACCGATGTGTCAGGTTGGCATAGTTATCTTGCTTCTAGTTGTTATGATGACCTAATAGATGGGGGTTACATAAGCTGCCCTCGACAACAAAATGCGCTCACGCACACCACATTTTCCAGACTGCATTCTAGCTGGCAAATCAGTGTGAGTGCCTCATCGGAAATCCCAATTGATCTAAACACGCACACACACATATATATATAATAATTTATAATGACTTCCATCTCGTTTCAGCGACCATAGACCCTTAGATGATTTATGAGATCAGCATTCAATTTTATAGGTATCATGCATATGTGACAGATGAACTCTGTATCCTTGATTGGATCTGAATAGCCTACAACTACCATGGCCTACTCAGTCAAATTATATATATATATATATATATATATATATATATATATATATATATATATTATAAATTAATTGATTTAAAATATGTTTTTTCCGCTACACAGTTCTAATCATGTTTCAAAAATAGAAGCTAAAAGCCCCGAATTTAATTTTGCAATTAAGTTAAAAGCATTAGTTCCATTTCATCTTCAAGCGAATTTTTATATATATATATATATATATATATATATATATATATATATATATATATATATATGGTGATTGGCTTTGTGGCCTCTAAGATGACTCTTGGCCCAGCATTCTATTTTATGGGTATCATGCATATAGGTATCCTTGAGTGGATCTGGATAGCCTACAACTCCCCTGTGTACCACCTCTGTGTGCCTCCTCTGTTTAGATCATGATCTACAAAACGCCGGCATTATTGGCAGGACGATGAGGCAGGTTGGCTTGCTTCTAGTTTTATGATGACCTTACAGATGATTTACATAACCTTTCCACAACAACAAAATGCGCTCACTAAAAACTTATTTAATTATATAATTAAATTAAAAGCATTAGTTCCGTTTCATCTTCAAGCGAATATTGGAATAACTTTTTTTAAAATTTACTAAGTTTTAAACGCACATATAAATTCATAATTTACAAGTAAGAAAAAATGCCGAAAAACTTTCTGCCGTTAATAAAAAAAACCCAGACGACATGCATTTAACGGATGTCAGAATTCGTTGAAAAATACACCCCTACCCTCCCTAAACTTGGCCGCTTATTCGAACGTAACTCATAATTGATATAACAATAGTTAATAAAAATGATCACGCTACAGCCCCTGTCTGAATGATTGGATTTCTCTGTATCCTTAATAGCAGTAGATTATGAATTTAGTGTTAGTGTGTTTATGTATCTCACTGTCTGTATGTTTATGTATCTCTCTGTGAATTTTATTGTACGCTTATGATCATTACTGCTGACTGATATCACACTTCCTCAACAGTACCCCAGTCACACTCCCATTCCAACCCACAACGCAACGAAATAAGGCTTCCACTTTATTTGACTTTCGCCGAATTTAAGGTCGGGTTAAATTGAATTTGAACTTTCTCAAAAATCCCCCCCCACTAAAAAATATATACTATACGGAATAAATTATTTAAAATGGACATAGAAATAAAATGTTCTTTGAAGAAAAAAAGGGGCATAGATGTCATTAGATATTTTAAAAAGATTATTTTAAAATTCAAGCAAGATATACATTGCCTATCAACTTGTCTCAAGCTTCGGTCAAGCTACTCAACCCGACTAGCCACATTAAATTTATTTCATTCTTTTCTTACTTTCTTTCTTTCATTGTTATTTTTTTCATTCTTTCTTCTTTCGTTCTTCTTTATTATTAACAATATCAACGAAATGTATTTCCGTCAATATTTTGAGGCACCGAGTTAAAATAATTTTGGACGCAGCTGAAGACAAGAATGAAAACAACGCACCACGAAAGATTCTTGTTGCTTTGAAATAAATATAGTTGAATTTTAACTCACTTGGGCTACACCCTATCACCAGTCACCACTAATATATATATATATATATATATATATATATATATATATATATAGAGAGAGAGAGAGAGAGAGGAGGAGGGAGGGAGGGGAGGGAGGAGAGAGAAAACATATGAATAGGGTAGGAAAGGAGAATCAGAGGAGAGGAAGAAAGGGAGGAAAAAGAGAGAAAAGAGAGTCAGAGATAGATAGATAGATAGATAGATAGATAGATAGATAGATAGATAGATAGATTCATTTTCATTTTTGTCTTTTGTCCAATGATTTATTTTTTGTTTTAAGTTCCTGGCAACACTCAAGGAGAGTTTAAGTAAAAGATAGATAGATAGATAGATAGATAGATAGATAGATAGATAGATAGATATTAACAGACTGAGATAGATAGATCGATAGATAAATAGAAATATTATTTAATATTATTTAATATATATATATATATATATATATATATATACTAACCAAAGAAACAGCACAAATAGACAAGAACTTCGGAGATGGTTTGGTTTGGTTTGTTTTCCGGCATATCAACCTCAAAGGGTTATTTAATGCCGACAAGTTTTGTTTTTTTTTTTATTGCTGGTAATATGTTTTTTCCAAAAAAGTGTTGCTGGTAATATTTTTTTTATGTATTGATGGTAATATTTTTCTTTTTCGAAAATGTACTGTTGATAATAATTTTTCCGAAAAAGTATTGCTGGTACTAAAACCTGTTTTTATATTTTCATTGTGCTTTGACCCCTTTTGGGGGTTAACTATATGCCCATGGCTTGGACCCTGACAGGTGCTACCACCCCGGGTCAGCGTGGACCCGGGAACACCGGCTATTACGAGGTGATTCCATAGACCTCAAAACCTCCTGATCAGAGGCCTTGCTGCTGGACGTAGTTTATCGTCTTACCCAGGATACGAACGTCGGAGATCATGCTTGATCAGACACACATGCATACGCATATAGATGTGTGTGAGCGCTCGCGCACGTGTGTGTGTGGGGGGGACAATCTTGAAAACCTGTATATTGATATACTTCGGCAATAAACCAACATTTCATGAAATTCTCATTAAATGGCCGAACACTTGATTTTTTATTTTAACCAATTTCAAATCATTTTTTTTTAATTTAATATTTAACTATACACTGAACGCGAAACAAAAACTATATATTTATTTTCCTAATAGATTTCACCCCATGCAAGGGCGTAAAGCCACTAAGACACAAGGGGTTACAGGGCGTGGAAGAAAGACAAAAGAGTAATCAGGGGGACAGAAGATAGCGATTGACATTGCATCTAAATTTTTGCAGGTTAAGTTTGGCTGGAAAGCATAGAACCGGGAGGGAGTTCCACAAGCGAGAAGTGCGAGAAAGAAACTGTTAGCACAGAATTTACGACTACATCTAGTCAGCTCAACTGTAAAGTGATGAGATCTTAATGCCAGTCTAACTTAAATCCAAAAGATCTGGGCACCATAGCGAAAAGCTTACCAGGACAATTACCATGGAAGCATTTATAGAAAAGACACAGAGGGGCAACATTACAGTAGTGGGAAAGTGACTGAAGCCGAGAGGCCAGGTGAGGACTGATAATTCTGCTGATTCTTCTTTGGAACATATCTAAAAAGTAAAAATCCACTCAATGCGTAATAAACTATATAATATATATAATATAAAATTTAACAATACATTCCATGCTAACCCAATTAAAATAGAAGTTTTCCAAATTGTCCAACACATACAGAGACATGTGCGTATGAAAATCAAAAATTATCCTCACTTTCGCCATAAGTTCATCACACTTCCTTCTGCTCAGGAGGGGGTTAGAGTTGGTATACTATTGTGGTCACGGGATCGAAGTTTTAGTTTGATCGCGTCAGTTATCTTGCTGTTGATGAATGAATGAATGAAGAAAGAAAGAAAGAAAGAAAGAAAGAAAGAAAGAAAGAAAGAAAGAAAAAGGAAAGAAAGAATGAATGAATGGAGAAAGAAAGAAAGAAAGAAAGAATGGAAAGAAAGAAAGAAAGAATGAATGGAAAGAAAGAAAGAAAGAAAGAAAGAAAGAAAGAAAGAAAGAAAGAAAGAAAGAAAGAAAGAATTAATGTAAGAAAGAAAAAGAAATGGATGTAAAATGAAAAAGCAAATCAGATGCAAAAAAAGAAAGAAAGAAAGAATGATGAATGAATGGAGAAGGAAAAAAAGAAAGAAAGAATTAATGTAAGAAAGAAAAAGAAATGGAAAGAAAATGTAAAAGCAAATCAGAATCATAGAAAGAAAGAAAGAAAGAAAGAAAGAAAGAAAGAAAGAAAGAAAGAAAGAATGACTGAATGAATGGAGAAGGAAAAAGAAAGAAAAAAAGAATTAATGTAAGAAAGAAAAGGAAATGGAAGGAAAATGAAAAATGCAAATCAAATGCAAAATAAGAAAGAAACAAAGAAAGAAAGAAAGAAAAAATTAATGGAAAATGAAAAAGCAAGCCAGATGCAAAATAAGAAAGAAAGTTGAACAGAAAATTGATAAATTGATAATTGCAAAATAATGAACAAATTAAATAAATAAGAAAGAAAGAAAGAAAGAAAGAAAGAAAGAAAGAAAGAAAGAAAAGAAGAAAGGTGACAGAAAGAAAGAAAGAAGGAAAAAATATGAATGAAAAATCAAGCCGGATGCAAAATAAGAAAGTTGATAAAGAAAGATGCAAAATAATAAAGAAAATAAATAAGAAAGAAAGAAATCATGAAAGAAAAACGGAAAGAAAAAAAAAAGAAAAAATAGAAAGAAAATGAAAAATCAAATCAGATGCAAATTAAGAAAGAAAGAAAAAAGTAAAGAAAGAAAAAAAATGTAAAAATTGTCGGAAACTATATCAAAGCGGAAAGAGTTACCAAAAAAAAAAAAAAGGAAGTTTATTCATTCTTTAGCTGAAAAACTGTTTCTGATTTCTTGGGATTTACAGATTAGGATTTAAAAAAAATAAATGCAGTCAAAAAAAAAAAAAAAATAATAATTTAAAAACTAAAACCAACCAAGGAATAAGAAAACAGACTGTGTGCCAGTCTCTATTGATATTTTCCCAAGCCTCGTGAAAAAGAAAAAACAAAAAAAACAAAAAACAAAAAAACCCCCAAAAACTAACAATTCACGGACTTTTCGATCGTGTCAACATTTTATTGCGTCACTCGACCAACCTTCTGTGTTTTCATTGGTCAATACTCAAGGTTGGCCATGTTTCTGTTTATCCACCAATTTTCAATGTTTGGGTTGATAGATTTGTTTTTTACGGCCTCTAACCATTTGAAAGTTATTTAAAGCCAGAAAATAATTTGAGATTCTAAGATATTTGTGTGCTATAATAATAATAATAATAATTATTATTATTATAATAATCTACTGCTATATGCCATAGCTAGAGGGAGAAATGCATCCATACATTTCCCAAGAGTATTGACGCGTAAAGGAACATAACGAATTCGATTTCAATTCCGAACTATTACCCATTAATCCACCCACACATCCAAGCTTACAGGATCTGGTCTTTCCAAAATGGTCACCCATCTCGGTACTGACTGTCCGGCCACAGGCATCCCTCGATTAATGCGCATTTGATTAGTGCATATATAATACATTATTAGTGCGGTAAAACAGTTTAACCAGAGTCATTGAAAATTTATGTTTTTATAGTTAACGATGTACAAGTTAACCGCATTAATCGAGGGGTTTCCGTGTCTCTGCCTGTTCTCTCGTTAGTAGGTTATTTAGCGCGTACTTTGCACCCTGTCATTGACTTAGATAAATAATGGACCGTTCCATTTTGATCACGCTGAAAAAGAAAACGCGAACAAAAATTTCATCCTACATAGTGTGGATAAAGGAAGCATAAATAATAATAAATAGACAAATAAATAAATAATATATAAATAATAATAATAATAATAATAATAAAGAAAATTTATTCAGTAATAAAGAAAGTCAAAAAATTCAAAATGAATTTCATGAAGATGTTCAAGTAAATAATGTATTTTAAGACATTTCTATGTTTATACATTCATTTTATAGATACAAATATTTAAGTAAACGCTCTGTTTTATAATAAACAGTATTAAACAACATTTACCGGCCTGAATGTCAGAGAAATTTTCACAGAAAATATTCATCCACGGACAGGAATCGAACCTGTATCCTATACGGAAGCGTCATTTAGCCTGACGTGCTTTTAACCGATTTGGCCACAGAGGAGCTTTCGGTTAGCAAGGTCGATTTTACTGTCTTTAAACTACAATCTTCCATGAATCTCTCACGTACATTCATATCTGCTCAAAGCGTATCCAAATGTAAACAAATGACGTCACACATTATGAAATGGACAAAGTATTTAAGTAAATGCTCTGTTTTATAATAAACAGTATTAAACAACATTTACCGGCTTGAATGTCCGAGAAATTTTCATAGAAAATATGCGTCCTCCGACAGGAATCGAACCTGTATCATATACGGAACCGTCATTTAGCCTGACGTGCCTTAACTTAAATATTTGTATCTATAAAAAGAATGTATAAGCATAAAAATGTCTCAAAATAATTGTCGGACTTTGTCCATTTCATAATAAATAATGTATATACGTATATGTATATCTGTCCACTCGTATTCGAGGATGCCCAGCTACAAGGGCGGATAGCCAATCCCTATTGCAGACGCTTGTTCAGGCGCATCTGTGTTTATTCAACACCCACAGGGCCCACCTGTGGTTTATACTGCAACTATGCTGAGCAGACCTTAGTTACAGTTTTGGGGAAAGAGCGTGTTATCTAACGTGATCTACAATTTGAACAACGCCAGCACGTTCAAGCCCTCGGTCACGATGGCTTGTGACTTCGTGCTAGCACAGCTATCGTCAGCACCCAAGGGTTCCATATACCTAATTTCACTCGCAAGGCTTGGGTCAACTCGTGGTATAGTTTTCCAAAAGTGCCGCACGCTGGGTACGATCCCTCCAGTCCGATAACACCAGGAAGTCTCCTTCCTGACAAATCGAGATTTGAACCCGGATCTCATGGTCAGAATGCCCACGTTCTAACCACTCAGCCAATAATAATGCACCTACTACAGCGGCAAAGAATCTATAAAAGAAGGGAAATGCAAATGCAATGAACCAAATGAAGAAACGATAGCGAAATAAGCATCTTCATGGTCAATGCTCTATCCGTGCCAAAAAAGCTAATGTAAACGAATTCCGTATCCATCAATGGTTATATAGTGTAGGGTTAAATGCTAAAACCAATGGTTTTATTCTTGTTGCACAGGACCAATGCTTGCTAACCAAAAATTACCAAGCAAACTAAAATGAAAAATGCTGAAAAATTGTATTAACCCGTTATATAGATTTTGTAATGAATACCAACAAACATTTGGCCAACTTGTATCAGGTTGTACGATATTAACATCTACCAAATAGAAAATTCAGCGTGAAAGAGTGGGCCAATATCAACACTGGAAAATCTGAAACTTTTATGGGAAGGAAACTGCAAGGAATAAGTCTGAATACCACCCAGGCTCGGTTACAGATATAGGACCTGCAAGAATTTGATGGGTCTTTACAATGTCCACAGACAGAACCTTGAAAGCTAATCTCCCAGATATCGTGATGAAAGACCGTAAGAATAGAATGTACTTCCTTATTGACATGACCGTTTCCGCAGACCCTAATCTCGCTTTGAAGATCTTCAAAAACTATCAAAATACAGAGCAACTTCCATTGTCGAACGTCTTACATGTCGAACAAATCGGTTTTCGAACAGAAAATTCGAGATGAAAATGCCTCGGTTATCGAACAAAATTTCGGTTCTCGAATAACATAGCCGAAGCGAGTTAACCCGAACGGAATCATTTCTGAGTCGACCGCTGTGTTGCATATATTCGTGTGTTATGCAGTGCTTTTCTTTTTCAATTTTATTGTACTGTGACTTTTTTATTTTACTCTACATTGATTTCTATTGGGAAAATAGTTTCGGTTTACGAACATTTCGGGTTACGAACGGCCTTCAGGAACGAATTAAATTCGTGAACCGAGGTTTCATTGTACAAGGATATAAAAGTGAAAATGTAAAAAAAAAATGTGGTACATGAGAACATCAATAATTACAGTTGAAGTTGATGCCCTGGGCTTGATTGGAAATGGTTTCGATAGACTTATTGAATGGATTCCTGGTAACTCACACCTTAAAGAAATAGAAAAAATTGTTCTTACAAGTACAGCTTACACCTTACAAAAGGCTTCATCTATGTAAGGTTTGTGTGTGGACTTAGATTGTTCCTTTCCTTTTTTTTTTCTTTACAAAGATGCTCAGTGGAAAATGGCATGATACCATTGGGAGCCCGGAAGAAATGAATATACAACAGGATTCAAAGGAAATAATAATAATAATAATAATTATAATAATAATAATTATTATTATTATTATTATTTGGTTTGGTTTGTTTTACGGCATACCAACCTCAATGGGTTATTTAATACCGACAAAATTTTTATTTCTGGTAATAATTTTTTAAAAAACGTATAGCAGATAATTTTTTTTTCAGAAATGTATAGCTGGTAATGTCTTTTGTTTTCAAAAATGTATTGCTGGTAATAATTTTTTTACAAAGTATTTTTGGTATTAAAACCCATTTACATGTTCATAGTGTTTTAACCCCAGTTTGGGAATCAACTATTTGCCCATAACTGAGACCCTAACAGGTGCTACCACCCCGGGTCAATGTGGACCTGGCAATTAAGAGGTGGTTGCTGTTGGACGTAGTTTATCGTCATACCCAGGACGCAATAATAATAATAATAACAACAACAACAACAATACCAACGCGGCATGATAGAGTGGGCGATTGTCTGCACTGGAAAATCTGCAACTTTTACGCAAAGAAAACTGAAAGAAATTGGTATGAACACTACCCAGACCCGGTTATGGAAAACGGACCTGTAACGATTTTATGTTCACGATGGGGAAAGAGAGTAACAACACACTGGATGTTCTAATATCTCGAACAGAGCATGGGTTCAAAACATCCGTATACCGTAAACCAACATTCACCGGACAGTACCTCAATTTCAACTCCCAACATCCATACAGCGTAAAGAAAGGGATCGTCCGCTGCTTACAACACCGAGCAAAAGTCATAAATGGCGACCCAGAGACATTAGATAAGGAATTGGTCAGTATAAGTAGTACCCTACAACGTAACAACTACCCTGGGTACATGGCAGCAGCCCCAAAAAACTGGGATACGCGGATACAAGAAGAGGACAACAACACTCAGAAAACAGTCTGCCTGTCTTATGTGAAGGGGTTATCAGAGAAAATACAAAGGATCTGCGGTCTATATAACATCAGGACAACCTTCAAAAGCTTGACAACACTTCGCAGATATCTCTCCCGAGTAAGACCCCCCCCATAGAGGAGAACATGACTAAAGACTGTGTGTACGCTATCCTGTACAGCTGCGGAAAGAAATATAAAAGGAGACAGGCCGCCCCCTTAGGGTAAGGCTTCAAGAACACGAGAAAGCTATAACATGAGGGGAAGTGGAAAAATCAGACGTGGCTGACCACATATGGAGAGAGAAAGGAGATCACCGCCCTCTGTAGGGTCAGGTTGAGACCATAGACAAGGAACACCATTGGAAAATTTGTAAACTTAAGGAATCAGCACATATGCTAGGCCACAGAAATCTCCCGAGCCGACCAAGCATAGAAATGAATACAATATGGGAACCAGTAATAAGGAGTGCCAGAGAAAAGTGATAATAACAACAAAAGTTGCAATATGAGCTCTGGTAAAAACATAAAATGATAACAGCAAAAAATTGCAATATGAGCACCGGTAAAAAATGATTGCTGAAGACATTAGGTTTATAATACCCAGAAATTCATACACAGATGTCCTCAAGGACACAGTGAATAAAGGCGTTGGTTAGCTCCAGTGACAGGATCCAAAGAGTGTGAGTTCAATACCCGGTTAAGGCATTGGAGAACTTTCAGAGGGAAAATTAACAGGAGATAACTGATCCATTAAAACATGGCACATGGAACTAGAACAGTCTACCCCAGTGAGCGAAATAAAGGGTTCAGTTCGACATTCCATCCACCTGAAGAGGCCGGAGCGTACAACGGCCGAAACGTTGTAATAAATATGGCGACAAAGATGCGGACAATAGTCCGAATAATGTAAATAATCTTATGTGACTTTACAATATAATACACAAAGAGTACAATCAAAGCTAATCGCTCTGACATCGGGATTAGAGACGGCAAAGACAAAATGTGCCTCCTTATTGATATGGCAGTTCCTATAGACTGTAATGTATCTTTGAAGATCTTCAAAAAGATTATCAAAATACAAGAACCTTGAAATCGAAGTCTCAGAAGTGTGGCGCATGAGGACATCAGCAATTCCAGTTATAGTTGGAGCACTCGGATTGATTGGAAAAGATTTCAGTAGATACATTGAAGGGATTCCTGGTAGGCTATGCCTTAAAGAAATACAAAAAATTGTTCTCACAAGTACAGCCCACACCTTATGAAGGGCTTTATCTATGTAAAGTATGTGTGATTTCTTTTCAAAATTGCCCAGTGGAAAATGTCATGATACCATTTCTGACCTTAGGTCTCTGGTTGGGACCCGGAAAGTAATGAATATACACCAGAAATCAAAGGAAATAATAATAATAATAATAATAATAATAATAATAATAAAAATAATAATAATAATAATAATGATGATGATGATGATGATGATGAATATGACTGGCAACCCTCCCGGGAGAATGAAAACTCGCAACTGAAAGTATTACTGAAGAGTGAATGAGTTCTGCGTTATGATGTCGTTAACGATACTTGGCAGGAAGTGCCCCCACACCTATCAATAACAGCTTTATCCATTTTGCCGAGCAACCATAAATGTATTTTCTTGTTCCTATACATCACCTGTGGGATCTCAATGGAGACACGTGAAAAAGGAAAAAAGACTTCAAACAAAAAGACCATGTCACCTGTCCTCTGGTTCAACAGGGAGCACGTCACTCAGAAGGGAATAAGCCTGAGGTCGAAAAATTAGCAACGGGATCCAATACTTCATCAGACTAAGGCCTGACAGGTCACCAAAACGAGGTCACTCTTAATCTTAAACCTCCAGGTCTACCATCACCAGAATCAAAACAAATTAAAAAAAAATAAATAGACAAAAAATAATTAATTTTTTCCATTTTCCAGATGAGAGTGTACAATGTTTTAAGTTATATTCAGAAGGAAGTTGGTTTAAGATTAACAAACATGATACTTTAATCATTACGAATGAGTAATATATTTTTGTACAATTATTATAAGAATATATTAGAACACAATTAAAAGGTTTTAAAAATCGGACATTATTTTCCGAACAACCTAATACTACTTCCCAGTGTATACACAGGTTGCGTCACGTATTTGAGAACAACCGTCTGAAGGAGATTTACATAAAATTAACAAAGATGGCTCTTTAATCATTAGGAACTAGTAATATATTTTTGTACAATTATTATAAGAATATATTAGAACAGAATTAAAAGATTTATTCTAAAATCGGACATTATTTTCCAAATAATCTAATACTATTTACCAATGTATATACAGGGTGCGTCACGTATTTGAGAACAACCTTCTGCAGGAGATTGACATAAAATTAACAAAGAGGGTTCTTTAATCATTTGGAATAAGTAATATATTTTTATGAAATGGACTAAGTCCGACAATTATTTTAAGACATTTTTATGTTTATACATTCTTTTTTATAGATACAAATATTTAAGTAAATGCTCTGTTTATAATAAACAGTATTAACAACATTTACTGGCCTAAAGGGTTTGAAAAGGTTCAAATCAAACATTGTTTGATTGATGTTTGATTGATTTGAACCTTTTCAAACTCTTTATTCTACATTCAACACCATCACTTGATAAGACACCAGAAGTGTTGAAACAAAATGGCTATTTTTCTAGTGATTTTATAACATGTTTATGTTATAATTTTCGAAAAAAATTATATATATATATATATATATATATATATATATATATATAATTTTTTTGTTTATTAGGATTCCTTCTTGCGTAACGCAAGAAGGAATCCTAATAAATGGCACGAAATACCTGGCGCATTCCGCAGGCCGGATATGACGTAATCAACATGGCCTTTTAAAATTTTTTCGTTTTATTCACCTTTGAAAGTAGAGTTAATAAAAAAAAAGCTGACGGAAAAATGGCTGATTGAATAAAAAAAATGAATGAATAAGAAGATAGTAGGCAGTTCGTTCAGCGGCCATTTTTTTTTCCTGTCTTTATTTGTTAGTTAGAATAAAAGAAGGGGAGACAACTAGATACAGATGTTCTGTTGGTAGAGTTACGTAATGGCTGACTTCCAGCGTTGGCGGCGCTAAACATTCTACAAATCCAGAAAGAGCAATTGAATTTTGTGTAGGGTTTATCAGATGAACCAAAAATGGTTCGTACAAGTTTAGGAGGTGCCTAAAAATTAATAATCATACTTATTATAAAACGCAGATTGTGTGTGTGTGTGTGTGTGTGTGTGTGTGTGTGTGTGTGTGTGTGTGTGTGTGTGTGTGTGTCTGCACGCTTATATATTGGATCGGATTTCCTACATTTTTCAACCGATTTCAACAAAACTTCACAGGACTACGTAAAATTACCTTGCGGTGGTTCGGACAGCGCCAAAAATTGGAAAAACACAATTGGTTTTGCACGAAATCAATTTGAAAACACGATTAACAGAAATCGCCAGAATGGAAGGGGGGCAACTCATATCGAGTTATACTTAAAACCCAGGTTGTTTGTGTGTGTGTGTGTGTTCGTTTATACATGGGATCAGATTTCCTACATTTTTCAACCGATTTCAACAAAACTTCACTTTTTTTTTGGCAGGTAGTGTTTCTTATTGTCTTGCACACTTTTTTCTTTATTTTTACATTCAGAATACTTTAAAAATTCCATTTACAAGACAACTGTTTATAATACAATTCTTTTCAATCGGTAGACTCATAACGATTGAAAACAATGTTTTTGTTTCAGTTTAGGTTTGACCAATTCGTGAAAAAAACAAAAAACTAATTAAGACATGCCTGTCCGTCAACCTTAAACAATAATCTTTGTCAATTTTATTTTTCAGTCTTTATGATGGTCGATACTTGATTTATTTCTTACTGTTACATCCCCGGGCAACGCCGGGCTCTACTGCTAGTCTCTTCTAACGTTACTGAAATTAAAAAGGTGGTGGCGCTATAACTATAAGTCGGGAAGGTCTAGAGTCAAAAATAGCTTATGACCAAATCTTCTTCTATGTGCTGTGTATCTCCAGAACGTTAGAAATCATGGCTCTCCACAATTTCCGGTCTAGTGTAGCTATTAAATAAGGCTAGCTTATGCGCTGATTTCTTCTGTTCCACTCGCCTCCAATATGTCTTGTGAGTTTCAAATTTTATAAACCCCCTTTCCTTATGACGTACCCTAGAAGTGTCAACTGTCTCTTTCTGATTTCAGTTAGGTTATCTGTTGTTTTCCTCTCTCCCTCTTGCCTTCAATCTGTCCTGTAAGTACATAGATAGAAAGATAGAAAGAAACAAACACCCAGAGATGGTAACATTTAACAATAATAATATATATATATATATATATATATATATATATATATATATATAGAGAGAGAGAGAGAGAGAGAGAGAGACATACATACATACATACAAAGAAACACTCATTGTAACAGACAGATAGATAGATAGATAGATAGATAGATAGATAGATAGGAAAAAACTGGGAAACAAACAAACAAACAAAATAACAGAAAGAACAGAATGAAAATAGATAGATAGATAGATAGATAGATAGATAGATAGATAGATAGATATGAAAAGACTGGGAAAGAAAGAAACAAAGAAAGAAACAAAGAAAGAAAAAAAATAACAGGATGAAGATAAATAGATAGATAGATAGATAATAGATATTAAGGAACAGAATATATAAATATGGAAAAGTATGAGCAGATACATATATAGATAAGACTGAAATATATATATATATATATATATATATATAAAGAGAGAGAAATATTAATAAACAGAATAGATTGACATGGGAAGATATGAGTAGGTAGATAGATAAGAATAGACTGATATATATATATATATATATATATATATATATATATATATATATATATATATATATCAATTAAAGGTGCAATTATAATTTATAAATTCATGAATATATTTGTTTTTTTGTATGAATGATTCATGAATTTATATATATATATATATATATATATATATATATATATATATATATATATATATATATATAGAGAGTGATAAAGATAGATAAAGATAGATAGATAGATAGATAGATAGATAGATAGATAGATAGATAGATAGATAAGTAATGTTAAGACATTTGACATTCATAAATAAATTATAAAAAACCTGCCATCAATGCGCTGGGTTTCATCCATTCTCTTGTGTGTCCATTCGTCCGTGTGTCTGAAATGATTGTCGATTAAATTCCACGCGCCTCAGAAG